CCCCAAAACCCCAAAACCCCAAAACCCCAAAACCCCAAAACCCCAAAACCCCGATTATAAATTTTAAGATTGAATGTAGCATGAATCTTTGAAAGAATTATTCAATTATAGTGAATGATGGAGGTTGCTGACTTGCTCCAACTCCACATATCTCTTTCCGATATATTCCTTATCAAGGGCTTGAATAGCTCTGACAGCAGTGTTTGCATCAATCATGAAGACTAGTGCCTTCCCAGTAGGTCTTCCCTCCTTAATTTCGAAAACAATGTCGTTGTTAGTGACAGCAAAATCTCTGAAGAAAGTGACCATATCTTTCTTGGTACAACTGTAAGGGAGCCCTCTCACTCTTAATGTTCTTTGCTTGTTCTCATCAGTGATGTATTTGTGAAGATAAACATATTCTTCGTGGTTCTGAGCTTGATAGAAATTATGGAAATGGGAATATGGATGCAAATAGAGCTCGATCCATCTCTTTCCAAGATTATCTCCATTCTTTTCGTTAACAGCTCTAGCAGCTTCTTCTTCGTTCTTAAAAAGGATTACTCCCTCTCCAGTCTTCTTACCGTTGCTCATTTCTCCAATAATAACACTGTCAGGTACTACATCGTAGCCATTGAAGAACATTAAGATTTCTTCCTTCTTAACGGTGAATGGTAACCCTCTCATTCTGACAAGGATTTTATCGTCTCTGCTGAAGAAGACTTTCTGGCTTTGTTGGGCTCTTTCCCACTCTCTAGCATCTCCTTCTTGTACTACCACCTGATAGTTAAAGATGTATCTTCCTGACTGGGATAAGGCCTCCACTTGGTCATTTAGAGAGTTTAATGCCAAGATAGCTTCCTGGCAAAATCTTCCTGTTTGGTCGAATACCAGGGCAATGTTAGCGTAAGCTATTGGGATACTCCCGAAGAAGTCAATAATCTTGTTCTTGTCGCAGTTTGGAGGAAGATAGCTCACTTTGATGTACTTAATGCTGTTGTCATCTCTTGCATAGCTTGCAGTACGAGGTTGCTCAGGTGTTCTTTCTCTATTGTGATATCCTCTTGATGCTGGATCATCGTAATCTACTCTAGATCTTCTTCTATCATCATATTGATCATGGGTAGGATAAGCAGCATCGGTGTGGTAGTCTCTTTGTCTCGTATCAGTTCTATAGTCCTTCACTTCTTCCTGCTGGTATCCAGGATATGCCCCTTGATAATAATTAGCTTGCTGAGCATCTGGAGCTGGAGGATACGCTGGAGAAGGATAAACTTCTGGGTTGGAAGGAACTTGAGTAGGAGTAAGAGCAGGAGTTGACTCTTGAAGTAGCCCCTGTCCTTCAGTCGGAGGTTGATGGATTACTTCAGCAGGTGGAGAAGGAGGCTTATTTTCAATAGTAACTTCGGGGTTTTGTTCTAACTTTGGAATACTCTCTTCCTTTACATCTTCTTTTGTTTCCTCTTTATTAGTATTATCTTTCTTCTCTTGATTATCCTCTTCACTATCTTCCAGAAGAGCTTTAATATGAGATGGTTCTTCTACAGGTCCACTTTCTAGCTTCACCACAGCTTCAATATCTAAAGGTTTAACAAACTTGTGTCCCTCCCTGTTACACATCCTATGAACCACCCTCACGACATTTGTACAATTCATCTCACTAACCCTCATATTAGATACCACATCCTTGCGATTATTTTAACTTTAAAGCATCTAGCAGTTGCTCAATCTTTAGTAAGCTCCCTTGATACCCAGGATGTCCCTTTTTAAACTCTTCGCAGAGGTTAAAGAACTTTGCGAATCAGCTATCTAACTTAAATTTCTTTTGAAGAGATTCAATCCTCAGCTGGTAGCCCATCTCCCAATTCCCGAAGGTTATAATTCAGTAACTTTTATTCTTAAGAACAAAAGAACTATAGACGTAATCTCTGAACTCCTTGAGCACTTGTTCTAAAGATTTAGCATTCTCAACAATGGCTTGAGTCACCCCGCTTTGTTCCACAGTCTTAGCATTCAGTTGAGGCATATTAGTAGGCTTTACGAAGTGCTGGGTTCTCTCCTTGTCTGGCTTCTGGTCTTTGAGGCAATAGGATATCCAGTCCACTTCAATCACATTTGGAAAATTAGCATCAGCAAGTAAGGCAGCAGGGTTTAGAAGGGATTCTTGCCCATTTTCTAGCATTGAACGGTAGTCATTCTCAGTGCGAGTTGTCTCTAGAGACAAACATACTAGATAGTCATACTCTTGTATTTCTTCCATCTGTATTTAATTAATTATATTAATCCAACATTTTGGCCTTTTGGGGTTTTGGGGTTTTGGGGTTTTGGGGTTTTGGGGTTTTGGGG